GCCTTCAAACTGTGAGCCTTCAAACTGTGAGCCTTCAAACTGTGAGCCATCAAACTGTGGGCCGTCAAACTGTGCACGGTGTGCTAGAAAAAACCCTTCCTTTCTGAAATTGCTTTGTCTGGTACTTGGTCACTCTAATAATACAAGTAAGTAATACAGCATGTTAAGAGACATCATGTAAGCAGGAATTTCATTTTAATTTTTTCTCTTATTTTTATTGATTCTTTGGGAATTTTATATCATGCACCCCAATCCTGCTCATCTCCCAATCCCTCTGTATCCACCCCTCACTCTAGTAGTGTCCCCCGCCAAAGGAAACCTAAAAAAGAATAAGATAAAAATAAAAAGGGTAAGATAAAAATAGTAATTAAAAAAACAAAATTGTCTTTTCCTCCTATCCATCAGCACTCCATTCATCTTAGTGGCATTGGGAGCTGCTGTGTATCATGCTTTATACCTTCTTGTCCAAACAGCATTACTTGCAAATGTTCATTGTGTGGAGTGCTGCTGGTCAGGTTCAAGGCCTCTGGCTTTAGTACACCACCAATACTGGACCTCCGCTGACATTCCTCTCTGATATCCTGCTGTTGCCCGACCGAAGTCACGGAGATCCTGCGGCTATGGTTCCACAGGATCAGTCCCTTCAAAACACTCCAGCAGATCATACACGGGGTAGATGCCGGGGTGTGCCAACTCCAAGCCTGGGATGTGTAAGCAGGGATCTTAAACGTGCCTCTTGCTCTCTTATACTTCTATCATAACTGTGAGGGCAAGCCTGCCAACTGATCTAAGAATTCTGGGTATTTAGCCCAAGTACACAACATTAAACCATGCAGGTGATCACAGCCTATATCAATAAACTACCAGGCGGTTCAAAGAAGTTGTATGACATATGACATCATGGTTGTTTGTGAATGGCAATAGCTAAGTAAAATAACTCGGTGCTCTGAGCCACGGTCTTAGTCACGTTTCTGTCGCTGTGACACAATGACCGAGGAAACTTATAAACACAACAGCCTTTACTGGAAGTTAGGAGGAGCCAACAACACACTTGGATTCATCGGTACGTCTCCCACTGATGACTTCAAACTTGGAAGATAAATGTCAGTCGCTTCTCCTGCTCCCTTCACTCTCATCTATACATACGGGCACGCGGGCAGTGTCACCCTTCCACCAGGACCAAAAGGTGCACCGTGGCGGTCGGTGACCACGACCAGGCTGGGAGTTAAACCAAACTGGAAAGTGGCAGGAAAGAAGAGCGCGCGGGTTGGAGGGACGGGGCGGTCCCAGCCATCAGGCGGGCAAGCGAAGCGATTGCCTCCCGGGATGTGAGTTTCCCGGGACCTCAGCTACGGCCGTCCCGCTCTCACCGCCCAACCCCGCCAGAGTTTCCCTTTTTAGGTGGAACGGCGAAGAGGAAGCAAGGCGGGGCTTCCCGATTGGCTCCCGGCACCCGGAGAAGCCATGCCCCGGGCTGGGCGCCTGGTACCTGGGAGGGGAGTGGCCAGAGGCAAAGGTGGCGAGCGGTCGCCCTTACCTGGCGCAGGAGCTTCCACCGGGCGGCCCCCTTGGGCACCGAGACCACCGACCCCTGCTTGGCGCCTCCAATCATGGGACCCTCGCCCGCGTCTGCTTCAGTCCCCGCAGCCTCAGCGGCCGCGACCCGCGACTCCATCCCCGGAGCTACCTGGACGCGGAGGTGCCTCCGCCACAGCTCTCCCCAGTCAGGACCTGCCAACTTCTTCCCTGTCAGGACCTGGGACGCCCGGCTGCCGGCCCACAGCCCTGGCGTGCGCCCTCCCCGAATTCCGCATTTCCGGTATTCGCGTCTCCCTGGCAACCAGGACCGCGGCGTCACGTCATTGCACCAGTTTTCTGGTAGCCATCTTTAGTGAGGGCAAGCCGGAGCGGGGAGGGAGCTGTGACATAGTGACCGGGAGGGCTTCCCTCGTTGTTTTCGTCCTCCTCGCTTCGTCACTTGCTCGACAGAATACCAAGAAGCCAAAAGACGGGCGTCTTTTAAGACTAGTGAATCCGATAGAGAAAAATCCCACGCCTCCACCACCATAATAAAGATGGCGAAATATGCTTCGCTCCCCGGCTGGATTGGTGTTACGTAGACCGGCGTGCTGCAAACTAGCTCTGGGCGGCGCGAGGTAGGTTGTCTCTCTTGCTGGGTGCTGAACGCAGACTTCGGGTGGACGAGGCTGAGGTGGCTGCACCGCCTTCTTGGGAGCTCCTCTGCCTTCGCTCGTTTGCGTCCCGAGCCGGCCTGCCTTTCGATTTGCGTACGTATGGGAGGGTTGCCGGAGGGTCCCCTTTCCCGGTTCCTCTCCCCACCACCTTCCAGCCGTTCCTCAGTTCCCTGGTCCCCCTTCCGATCCCTGTCTCTCCTATGCGTGGTAACTGGTACCATTCCCTCATGCCCCGAGACCAGCTACCACACCCCTGGGATGCACAGTTGCACAGGGGAACGAAAAGATTCTCCGGGGAGCAACCCATTTGTCCACCCGACCCTTATCCCCATCCTTGCACACTGCCTTCTCCATGCAGATGGTGGATAAATGGATTGAGGATATGGGGGCACATTAAGCGGTTTAGGGGCATTTTTCTTCTAGGCTGCTGCTCCACTGGTCCGTTATTTTGCTGCGACATAAAAGATTAAGGGGGGAGGGGGGCGTCATAGCTGATCGGATCTGTGGTTTAAAAAAAAACTGACCGTGGTGTTTTTGTGCTACCAAGGAACGTGTTACAGAAGAATTCTCTCGTTATACTCAACAGTGTTCAACATACCTAAATTATCCCTATGCTAATATAGGAAAAAACCTTTTGTTGAGTGGTTACTGTGTGCCAGGTACTTGTACAAATTGTCTGGTTTTGTTACCAAACAACAACCCCAGAAAGTAAGTGGTGTGGTTATTTTTTGTTTTACGAGTGATAAAATTGAGGCCCAGATGCAAGGCCCAAAGCCTGAACCTGGGTCTCTGGCTATAGAAGTTATAATGAACTTACCTTTCAGCCTAAACCACAGATGACTCTGCGTTTTATTTGTGCATCTTGCAGGGTTTAATTTTTTTTTATGCTTTTATGGTTAAGTCCAATAACTCACGTACAAGATGAGGCACCAGATCATTTGGACTTCTTGTTGTAACAGGTGACTTGGGGAAATTTCCTAAGCTTCCCAGAGCCACAGTTGGGTCACCTGTAAAATGAACAGCATTTTAGCGTCTTCATCAAGAATATATGAAGCTAAAGTTAGACGAACAGATGAAAAGCATCTGGCACCTGGCCAACACTCAACAAATATTAATTAATAATAAGATAATTATTAATTAATTCAGGCTTTCCCAATTTATCTTTCACATACAAACCAATGATATGCCCAAAATTATATAAGAAAAAACCTGTTTCGCTTTTGAACACCCTCAGAGTTCCTGATCTTCCCATTAAGTCCATTTACTTATTTGTAAATTTTTATTTTGTTTCTTGTTTTCTGTTTTTTGTTTTAGTTTGCCCATACGTGCACCAGAATCACTGCTGCTTAGCCTGAACCTAGTAAAAAATGACCTTACAGATGACATGTTTAAGTCAAACCTGCCAAGAAGTATGATTTGAATGAACTTTAACTTATACAAGTTTTTTCAATTTATTTAACCTAACTTATCAGATGTCTGGAATTATTTGTAACCTACGGGGCTCATGACCCCCAAAGGGGAGGGATAAGATGTGGTGATCTCAAATGCTCTGAGATCCCATTGCTGTATGATTATACATATGAAATCATTCATGTGAAGGGAGAAAAAAAAAAAACAGGGACTTTGCTACCATGCAGCAGACGACCAAATTATTTCTCCGAGCTTTGACGTGTAGTATCCCTCACCTTGGGAAGTGCATGCAGAGACAGAGTTACTATAACTTCGCTGGTCACTATTACAATAGAATAAGATTGGAAAAGTATCACCTGCAAAATAAACCCAAGATATCAGAATTAGCAAGAAACATCCCAAGTCGGAGCTTCTCATGTAAGGTATGGACTGTTTAAGTTAACCTATTTCTAGGTCATTAATATTCATTTTAGTTCATAAATAATGGGTAAGATATCCACTACTAATTTTCTCAGTAATTCTAATTTGGTTTTAAGATTTTTTTCAAACTCAAATATCTGTAGCCAATAGCCAATATGAGTACAAAAGAATGTATGTGAATCTGTCGAGCTATAATGAAGTATATAAAAATGTAGATTCATAAAAACTGATTGATCTTAGGACGTTGTGCCTGTAAATGTGTTGTAAAATATAGATTTCTAAAATTACTAGAATATTATACCTAAAATTACTACAAATTATACCTCTTAATAAAACCTATTATATGCTAATTCTTGTATGATTCGTAAACTTCAATAAATGCCATGTAGTTGTATACTATTTCTTTATAAAAAGAATGAAAAACTATCGTGCATTTTTCACAACTTGTGTTCCTCAAGAAAATACTGTTACGCTTCTGCCAGAGCCCCAACTATGGACTTGAATTCAGCCTTGAGGAACTGATTGCACTTATATAGAGAACAGCCTCATGTTCCCGTTTGCCTGAGATAGACCCACTCTACACCTGTTGGCCCTCGGCAATTATTAATAGTCCTCCATCCTCGCAAAGGTGTCCTTAAGATGTCACGTTACATGGTCATCATGCTTGACTTGAAATTAGGCTGTTCACCCTGTTGCTTCTTTGACAGGTATCCTTCCTTTATAATTATGCTCCTGAGGTTCCTTGCACACATTGAGGGTGTTAGCCTTACAATATTCTAGCGTTCTTTTATCATTTTCTTGCATGGTGATTTTTCTTGTAGTCTGTCTCGGCTTCCTCTCATTGCGGTAAATTGTGTATTTTAAAAGTTACCATTTTAGCCACTTCTGGTGTGAAAGTCAGTGGCGTTAGTTACAGTCACGGTATTGCAAACAACTATCACCACATTTTCCAAAACCCTACCATATGACTCTCTCCCAAAATATCCCTCAACAGTTTATGTTTCCCTCAGCCCTGGGTCACCTAATCTTCTTCCTGTATCTGTGAATTTGCCTATTCTGATATTTTGGATGAGCAGAAGCACACAATACTTACCTTTTCTTTATTTGGCTTGTTTGATTTTGCTAATGTTTTTAGGGATCCTCAATGTATCATAACTTCAACCCTCTTTATAGAGATAGCATACCATTTATATAATCTACATTCTGTTTATCCGTCGGTTGGTGAACACTCAGTGATTTATCTTCTAAATTAATCTTATTACCTAATTTTTTTTCTTTTAGTTTTTCCTCAGTTTTTGCTCTTAGCTTATAACTATTTGGTACACATACACTTCTGCCTTTCATTTTTAATGTTAGTCCCCTCCTCTTCCTGGACTTCTTACATCTCAGTCTTTTAAACTGCTTTTCTTTAGCAATTTGGCTTGGCTATGATTCTTCACTTGGCACACTTAGAAACTTTTAACCCACCTTTTCTGTTTGGTTTGGTTTTTAATGTAGACTTGCCGTACTTTATCCTCATAAAGTGTAAAATTTTGCCCACTGCACTCTGCCTTTGGTTGCCTCATTTTGCACCACGATTAGAACATTTTGTCATTTTGTCTTGGTTTATAAATAGTAAGCAGGAGTTACCACCAGAGTAACAGCTGCGAGATTAGCTCATACGCTAAGGTTGTCGCTGAAGCCATTTGTCTCTGAGGCAACTTTTAATTCTGTCATGCATTCCCGCTCCTCGAAACTGACCTGCCTGGCGGCAGCTCTGCAAACAATAGCTCTTTCAGGAGCTTCCTCCCCTGACAGAGTAGCTCTGCTCTCTTGCATTTTTGCATTTCAACCATTCTGTGACAAACAAAATGATCCAAAGGCTGGGGTGTTTACTCACGATGCTCCCTGAGACCTGAGGAAGTTCTTTAAACATAACCCCATAAAGGCCGGGCAGCAGTGGTGCACGCCTTTAATCCCAGCCCTGGGGAGGCAGAGCCAGGCAGATCTCTGTGAGTTCGAGGCCAGCCTGGTCTACAGAGTGAGATCCAGGATAGGCGCTAAAACTACACAAAGAAACCCTGTCTCGGGGAGAAAAAAAAAAAAAGATAATCCCATAGGTGTGAAAATACTCTGGGGACAAAAATGCGTATTTCTCTCTTTTGGCAGGTTCATCTGAGTTCCAAATTTGTCCACTCTTACAGGTTATCATAGAGTAGAAGGCCTTTAGCAGGTCTGTTTAAAGACCCGCTACTTGTGTAAATTGACTGAAGAAGAGGGGGCAGTGTGTGTAATAGAGACGATGGAAAGGGAGAGAGCCAGGACTGCTGTGGCTGTAGACTAGTCAGGGTTCCTCACATTCTTCACTCAGAAACAAGCAGAATCAACACCCAAACCTCACTATGCCTTGTTACCTTGGCCACGAATTACCATGCAACTTTAGGATTCTTCAGTACCAACTTCTGCGATCTAGATGTGTGTCAGCAATCCTGGGAGCTTTTTTTTGTTGTTGTTTGTTTGTTTGTTTGTTTGTTTTTCAAGACAGGGTTTCTCTGTGTAGCTTTGCGCCTTTCCTGGATCTTGCTCTGTAGTCCAGGCTGGCCTCGAACTCACAGAGATCCGCCTGCCTCTGCCTCCCAAGTGCTGGGATTAAAGGCATGCGCCACCACCACCTGGCTCTGGAAGCTTTTTAAAAGTGCAGATTTCTAGATCTCAAGCCATTTCTGTTGGATTAGAATGTCTGTTGCTTGAGGCTTAAGGATCTAGTTTCTTTATTTTTGAGGCAAGGTCAGTGTTCTCCAGAACTCTTGTTCATACAATCCTCT